GGGGGGGGGGGAGGGGGGGAAGGGGAGGGGGGGGGGGGGAGGGGGGAAGGAAGGAAGGACAAGGGGAAGGGAGAGGGGAGGGGGAGGGGGGGGGAGGGAAGGGGGAAGGCGAAGGGGAGAAAGAAAGGGAGGGAGGGAGGGGGGGAGGAATCTGCTCTTCATTGTGTACAATCCAACCCAGCCTTCCTTAATTGGAAGGGCACTACTCTTCTAATAATTCTCAATCAACCATCCAGCTGGAAATTATGGGAATCGAAAGGCTCCTCTAGCGATTACTTGGGGATGAAGGTACACTGTGGCTGAGTGAAACAAGAACACGGAAACTCCTGCAGATCCAAGAGGGGCAAAAGCCAGCTTCTGAACTGGGGATGGGGGGCTGCTGGGTGTTAAGCAGAAATGACCAAAGTCTCAAGCTTGAAAAGGGGCTCTGGGTGGACACAGCTGCTTCTGCCTCTTTCCGAGCGTCATGACCGCGAGAGGCAGCTTCGATGGAGGGGGAAACGCTCGGAGGGGAGAAGTGGGGAGAGAGAAAAGAGGGCTCTGATGAGAACCGACTCGGGGCTCGGAGGTGCAGAGGGGACAGATGGTTTTCACTCGGGAAGTTAACGAGGCAGGACTCGGCTTCTGTTGTCCATTGGTCACCGAGGGGCGACTGGAGGGCTAATCTACCACATCATTATACGGAAACACTCCGGATTAAAAAAGCAAACAAACAGACCAAAAACCAACTGGCACGTCCGGGAGAACCACCGTTGGCCCTGCATTGCTTTCCACCAGCTGGATCTGTGCATGTGAGAATTCTGCCCCCCCACCTCATTCAAGTGGTATAACCCTGGCGCTATTTCAGGGCATAAGGGACCGGATTGCCCGGGGACTGAGTCAGGATGGCTGGAGACCACAGAGCTGAGATAACCAGGGGTCACCCAGATCCGGGAAGGAGGCCGAACAGAACGCGACACACAGACCGTTGCACAGCATCACAAACACTTGGCTGCCCCCAGGAACTTCAGATTTGCCGTCTTCGTGTTTCCTCCGCTGCTCCTTTAAACACACACCCTTATTCCTGGGTTGGGCAAGCTACGCGGTCAGTTCCAACTTCCCCTCCTCCTCCTTACCTATCTTTGCCGTTCTGTATCGAGTTCTGGCCCAAGCTGGCGCGGTCCAGCATGGGTGAATTGCGGCTCCGGTTTGTGCTGGTCGAGAGGACACTGTTCTGCAGAGGAGGAGAAATGCCAAGTGAGGATCACTGGGACAGAGGCAGCAGGGTGGAGCCACTGACCGCAACTTCCTAATGCTTCTGCTGGGGGTGGGGGGAGGCTGTTTCCCCCAAATCCAGAAAGGGGTCTAGTACAGCCTTTGAGAACACCTGGGGCCACTCCAGATGTTTGAACTTCAACTACCCAATTCTTAGCTTCATTGCTGAGCTGCCTGGGAGTGATGGGTAACGCAGCGCAACCCACCAAGAAGCAACAAATGAAATTCAGGAGCGGCTATGCTGGACAGGGGATTGCAGGTCAACGATGAAGCCACCCCCTGCTCCAAACCCCTCCACGTTCCTAGGGAACTGACCGTGGAGGGCATTGGGGTGCTCTTCTTTCTCTCCAGACCAGGCAGCGGGCTGGCGGGCACTTTGACGGTGCTGCCGGTCTTGCTACGCCCGGCCTCCCGTTCCTCTTCGGGTCGCTTGTTCTCGGCATTGGCAGCCTGCGTTTTCTTGGAGTAAGACGTGGAGGTTGGGATGGTGGGTACTGCGGGGAGAAGGAGGCGAAAACAAAGAATCAATGCCATGAAGATTCAAGGAGGAAGACTGGAGGGGGACGGGGCAGAGGAAGAGAACACGGGTTTTCCTTTAGGCCACGGGACCTAAAGACGACCCCCGAGACCCTCCCAAGTTTGATTCCAAGTTGTAATTTGGAATTATTATTATTTTGACTTCTATGGTGGCCACATTGGAAAGGTTCCAGATCACATTAAAAACTCAAAAACAACAAGTGCAAATGAAAGGATTGCTATTGCTGTTATTATTAGCTGTTGCTATTTTTATCCTGCTTTTTATTTATTTATACACACACATGGTCAACTCAAGGCGGTGACCTAATACTAACTGCCTCCTATTTTCCCCACGACAACAACCCTGTGAGGTGGGTTGGGCTGAGAGAGAGAGACTGGCCCAAAGTCATTCAGCCAGCTTTCCTGCCTAAGGCGGGACTTGAACTCACCACCTCCTGCTTTCTAGATCAGCACCTTTACCCCTACACCAAACTGGCTCTCTATCTCTATAATGCTATGGGGAAGTACATAAAAAACCAGTTTCCGCTGTCCCTCATCAGTCATTCCTTGGAGGGAAGGCAAAACACTCTGGTCCATGTCAATATTAGCCTCAGAAGCAAAGCGATTGGTTCTGATGTGCGTTTTCCACTGAAGTCACATTAATCCCCTTTCGCTCAGCAGGAAAATCTCCTTGCGCTTCCCCGGGGTAAAAGGCCTCTCGGAGAGGAAGAAACTCACCCTGGTCGCTTAAGCGGCGCTGCTTGGGGTTGGCAGATACGCTGCGCTGTACCTTGTGTGAAGGGGAGGGAGCCGTGCTGTTGGCGAGGTCAGGCTGGGGCCGCGGCTTTAGGGTAATGCTATCGTTGTCGAGCTGAAAGAGCAGGAAAAAGGAATCGGAAAAAGCTCAACCCCTCAGCGGCGTTTTCACCCGATCCGTTGTGGCAGCCCATCGGAATGCGGAATTAAAAAGGTAAAAAGGTTCTTCTCTCCGTAGAGGAAAAGAGAAGCTTGTGCTCTTGCTGCCGGAGCGTGGAAAAGAAGTGGGAGAGAGGGGTTTAGGATGCAGCATGAGGTGGCAGAATGCAGTGGCGGGGAATATAAACTCTGAGTAAGCCACGGTGTAAAAAAGAACCCCATTAAACAAAACAATCTAGCCTGGCTGGGGAATTCTGGGAGTTGAAGTCAAGTTGCCAAGGTTGAGAAACGCTGATCTAGGACATCAGGGAAATTCCTTCCTTCCTTCCTTCCTTCCTTCCTTCCTTCCTTCCTTCCTTCCTTCCTTCCTTCCTTCCTTC